TGCAGAATAGCCAGCTGTTCCAAGAATAAAAGCATCTGGTTCCACCTGCCCTTGCCTGGTAGGGGGCTCACATCTGACAAAGGGACTGTTTTCCTCCCATGGCCGATTTAGTGCTTTAAACTAGATAGAGCTGAAGAAGTAATATTCAAGACCTGGAGTAGAGAACTAATGAGATTGTCTATTTCCTGCTGTCAGAAAGAGCTTGGAGTCCAAAAAGATGTATTTCTGCCAGAAGTTCAACAGCTCTTGGTCCTCGTGTGACTTTTAAAGAACAGTGGATTTCCAAGGACAGTTTTCACTAATGTCCAAAAATGTAGGCAAGTAGCAGGCTGATATTTGGAAGAAGTACTGGCAAGTTATGTAAAACTGAGGGATAGTTTTCAAATATTTAAATAGTACACCCACATCTAATTTCATTGTAAATTTATATTCTACCTATATATGTTTTTTAAAGACAGTAGCATTACTACTAATAATAATGTATTTATTACCCACCTCTCCTTATGACTAGAGGCAGGGTGTAACATGATAAAACAGAATACTATTAGAATACATATAACAAAATACACAGGTTAACATTCACAAGTTAAAATTGACTGGATAGACCTGCTGGAATAGACTGCTCTTTAGTAGCAGTTTCATGTAACTCTTAAAAAGCAAAAAATCTAAGACAAGGACCATTTCACAAGCTGACTATGTTGTCCAGCAATTTTGGCTTAATACATAAATAAAATACTTATAGTCCCACAAGTAAAACATCTCTAAGATGTGCAATGCTTATGATTATGATTGTATTCCCCATATCATTTCAGCTGACAAGCTAATTGCCTGTTTGCATTACATTTTTGTTGCTACTTCGTAACTGTAATTTTGCTACTGTTATGAATCGTAATGCAAATATCTGATATACAGGGTGCATTTTCATTCACTGGACCAAATTTGGCACAAATATCCAATATGCCCAAATCTGAGTACTGGTGGGGTTGGGAGGTAGGGATTGATTTTGTCATTTGGGAGTTTATAGTTCATCTACAATCAAAGAGCATTTTGAACTCCATTCACGAAGGAATTGAACCAGTCTTGGTGCACAGAACTCCCATGACCAACAGAAAATACTGGAAGGGTTTGGTGGGCACTGACCTTGAGTTTTGGAGTTGTAGTTCACCTGCATCCAGAGAGCACTGTGGACTCAAACAATGATGGATCTGGACCAAACTTGGCATGGATACTCAATATGCCCAAATATGAACATTGGTGGAGTTTGGGAGATATAGACCTTGACATTTGGGAGTTGAAGTTGCCGAGATTTATCATTCACCTATCATTCACCTATTATTATTATTATTATTATTATTATTATTATTATTATTATTAACCCACAATCAAAGAGCATTCTGAACCCCACCTATAGAATTGAGCCTAACTTCCCACACAGAACCCGCATTACCAACAGAAAATACTGTGTTTTCTGATAGTTTTAGCAACCCCCATGACACCCCCTCACGACCCCTCCAGTGGTCTTAAGCCCCAGGTGGAGAAACACTGAAATAAGGATTACTACGTAAGCATTAGGCATGGCTCACACACACTTTGTCACTCTGTGCATAGCTTTGAGCTTCTAGAAAATAGTGATGTCTGGAACAAACTTTATCTCAACCAGTGATGTGAATAGGTTGAACTGAAAGCAATGCTGTGACCAGGTAGACCCTTTGGCTAGTGTTATTGTTTGTTGTCTATTTGTCCTTCTGCACATTTCCAGAATTCATTCCATCTCTGGGTTTCACTTGGGAAATACATTAGGGTAGATATTTTAGTCCTATTCAACGATGTCGTTGGTGAAACTGAACGTATAATGCAGCCATCATCACTGAGATACTGAGAATTTTTTATATATTCACCTCATGACCAGAACGATTACTAATTGATCTTTTGCCTGCTGCTATGGCCATCCAACTTCAAAGCATTGTCATGCCAGAATAAATGTCTTTGAAGAAGACTGGAATAATGATTTCAATAATCAAAGTGTTGTTTGACCTATACTCTGAATTCTTCTTTCAATTTTCTTTCCTAAAAAGATACAGCATTAATCTGTATACAAAGAAGTAGTAGAAGAAAGCAACATTTGAATTTTTGGCTTAGTGTTTTGTCAGTTTTACAGCGGAACAATACTTACTTTTGGAAAATCAAGCCCAAGTTGGAAAATATGTCTATTCAAAAATCACTGCAAACACCGTCATAGATTAATAGCTGTCCTATGTAAAATTTAAAGGTTTGAAAGTGTTTTACCCTAGAAGGAAAACTATGAGGTAGAAGCATGTCAAGTATTTAAGGAGTCTGATCCTTCACTATATAAGTATATTTACTGACTCCAACTTTCATTTTAGGCTTTAAAAATCATTGCCTCTTTGTTAAAAGCTTTTCTCTTGAACTTTAACTCGTGATCTATTTTACCAAAAGAAACACAGCAAAGCTCGGAAAGCAATGTTAGCCAAGATTTGGTATTATTAAGCTAAAAAAGTACATATGGACTAGGTTGTTGTTTTTCTAGAGCATGGCCATATTGCCCAAAAAACCTACAACAACCCAGTGATTCTGGTCATGAAAGCCTTCAACAATACATTACATATGGACTGCTTGAATAAAGGAAGTTTTAACACACTATTAATTACAACACATACAGAACAAAAGCTTAGCCAAACTTCACAAAACGAGTCTATGTCACTGATATGTCACAGTGGTTTGTAAGCTTCTGGAAGCCTCTAATTATGTGGAACTACAAGGCTCATTATCTACAAGTTGCTTCTGGGTGCTTTGGCTGATACCAAATGAGAGACTCCCCCTGGGCACACAGAAGACTGGGCAATTTGGAAGGCGCTGAACAGATTGTGTTCTAGCACCACGGGATGCAGAGCCAACCTTAAGAAATGGGGTCACAAATTGGAGTCCACAACATGCGAGTGTGGAGAAGACCAAACCACAGACCATGTTACAATACAGCCTGAGCCTTGCCACATGCACAATGGAGGACCTTCTTATAGCACACCAGAGGCACTCCAAGTCACCAGCTACTGGTCAAAGGACATTTAATATAATGCTAAGTTTTTACATTTTGTGTTTTTAAAATACATTTCAACTGTACCCTTGGTTTGCTTCTGATACAATAAATAAATAAATCTACAAGTGGAATGGCCATGGTGGCTGGGGGTAATCGAAACTGTAGTTCAGTGCATCTGAAGTGTGGTAAGATGGAAAAGAATGGATATGAGTATCACACAAGGAAGATTCCAAGTAAAACAGGGTTTAGCCATACAACCCACTGGGTGATCCTAGACCAGTTGCTCACAGGCGAGTTGGAGGGAATAAAAACTATCTATGACGTTCTCAGCTCTGCTGGGAAAATGTGATGAAAATGCATGGGATTAAAAAAAAAGATCTCAATGGTTCCCACAATCAATACCACAGGGATTAAGAGACTGATATGAAGGTGGTGGGAAATGTGTAATATGATTATCCAGGAGAACAACTAAAAAGAGGGGTTGAAGGCTCTTAACCGTTCAAATAAGAAAAAACTTATAGCTGAAGTACAGAGACTGGAAGGGAGTATGTAGGGAACATAGACTCTTGCCAGAATGATAAACGGTAGTGTTTGGTGAATAAGTTAGTTTTGGTCTGTTGTAGATTGCCAATTGATTTTTCAATGGCAAAACATTTTTTACTAACACAAACATTCCAATCTTTCCACATACATTTACATACTTCTAGAATGATGATAAAGTACTTGCACCAACTTTAACAAGTACTAAAATGGAATACAAGTCTTATGAGGAACATCTTAGGGAGTTGGGTATGTTCAGCTTGGAGAAGAGAAGAATGAGAGATGACATGAAAACTACATTTCAATATTTAGAAGGCTGTCATATAGAAGATATAACCAGCTTGTTATATGCTGTTTCAGAAACTAGAATATGAACCAAAGGATTCAAATTACAAAGGAGGGCATTTTACTTAAAGATTGTGAAGAATCACTGTACTGTTGGAGATGTTTGATAATGAGATGGACTGCTTTGTAAGCATGCTGAACTCTCCATTTTTGCAGATCTTTAAACAGAGATTGGGTTAATCTTTCAGGAGTTTTTTATTGTGTATGGTAGAGGCATAGAACAGATGGCTCTGAGAGTCTATGGTTCTAATATATTTTATACATTACTTGATTTACTGCCCATATATTTTGTTACTCCTACTGAAAAAGTGTATTGTCCTGTGCCACCACAGGCAAATGTTGTCAATAAATCACAGTGCTGCCCTGCCAAGGTCCCTGACATCATTCAATTCTGGCTTTTCTGATAAACTCCCTTTCTTTTTAAATAGTCTACAATGTCTCATCAGCACACCTTAACATTAAAAAACACAGAGAAAAACAGAGGAGGGCTTTTGATCACTTCCAGTTTTGTTTTGGGTTTCTTTTGGGATTTGGGGCACTTCATGTGGTTCTTAGAAGGTCCTGTGGGCAGAAAACTGGTCTCTGGGCTTGCTGAAGTTGGCCATCCCATTGCAGATTAGTAGCACTAATTTCACGTGCTACAAGTACTAACTACCTGCTAAGTAAATGTAATTCTATTCAAGAAAGCAAATAAATTGCTAGAGGATGGATAGAGAACAGTTTTCTTCATCCTCTATCTACATGTTCTTCTCTGCATCCAGCATTGAAATACAGTGAGCTGGAGAAGGGGTGGGATTCTTAATTTAAGAGGGATTAAAAATAAAAAAATGAGGATTATGCCAGTTACCTGAATTTGATAAGTATGAAAGCAAACACAACAAGATACATGGAATTCCAACCACAAAACAATCTGTTTGTCATTCATCAGGAGGCAGTCAAAACTTGTTTCTTGAGGTCCTGTGATTATCATAAACATGAAATAGAAGCTTTCCAGGAGAAAGCAGACTGACTTATTAAGTGAAACGTGAAACTGTACAAGCACATTGTCAGACAGACTTACCAGGCGTCGCCTCTCTTCTTCTACTGCAATCAGTAATCGAGCAAACTCCTTCAACGACTGAGCTACAAAATAAATGCAAAAAAGAAAACAGAATTAGTTTATACTCATTCTTTATTGCCTTTATACACACACACACACACAAAATGAAGAATCATATTCTCTCTCTCTCTCTCTCTCTCTCTCTATATATATATATATATATACACACACACACACCCATTAATTAATTTCATTAAATAATTAAATTCTCACTGGCAAAGGGATCTGCCAGGGCTTGCTGCATCAGAGTCCAATCCAATATTACTCTTTTTGTCAACCTCCAGGATTTTGAAATGGCTACCAACAGCTAATTCAGAATATAAGAGAGATAAATATCTGTTTCTTGGGATGAAAAGGAATCAACATGTTGCTTCTATTTGTCTTTGGTTTGAGTTGATGGAAACAATGATCCTCCAGAGAAGTTATCAGCTCGTTTAAATGTAGTGCCTATTCCAGGGATCCCCAAACTAAGGTCTGCTGGCCAGATACAACCCTCCAACATCATTCACCTAGCCCCCACCCAAAACTTTAGACTTAGGGTCACCCTAAGTCTGAAACTACTTGAAGTCACATAACAACAACGATCCTAATTAACTTGACTATCTCATCAGCTAAAAGCAGGCCCACACTTCTCACTGAAATACTGTTAAGTTTATGTTGGTTAAATTGTTCTTCATTTTAAATACTGTAGTGTTCTTTCATGTTTTTTGCACTGCAAATAAGATACATGCAGTGTACATTCATTCATTTTTCCCCAAACAACAGTCTGCCCCCCCCCCCCCCGACATTTTGAAGGACTGTGAACTGGCCCTCTGTTTAAAAAGTTGGAGAACGCCTGGCCTATGTAATAGAAGACCTGGTCCACCATCTATTCAAATGGTATTTATATTCAAACAGTAGGCACATTTCTGACTCATTTGAGAAACTGGTTGGTGATGTAGAAACTCACTTTCTTTTTAGTGGCTCTAACTATTTTGTGCCACAGAGTCACACTGGAAGACCAATAAATTCCTAGAGAGAGCATTTGAATTGAATCTGTGAATAATCTAATCTACAAAAGTGAAACTTGAAAATGTGGAGGACTGGCTGTAATTTGCTCAAAAATGAATAGACATATTAAAAAATCTACATTTTCTAAATAGAAAAAAACACACAAAAAGCAGTGGTCTTTTTTTGCTTTAGAGTTAACTCACAAAAGCTGAAAATGCTTATTTTTTTTGGGAGGGAGGATGTCATGCATTGAGACATCTTTCTTCATTTTTGCAGCTCTTCTGGAGATGTCTTTCTTTCCAATATTAGAAATGAAATGCCCACTTAAAGATGCCCAAGAATGCAGTCGACGCTTTCAAAATACTTGTTTTGTGTTTATATTTATTTGTGCAGATAAGCAAAAAGCATCCCTGTTCCTGTTGAATGGATACAGCAGGGGCCAGGATTTTTACAACATGATATCTGCTCTCCATGCAGTACGTATAATGGTTTGTTGTTCATTCGTTTAGTCGTCTCCGACTCTTCGTGACCTCATGGTAGGGGGATACAAAGATTGCTAGAGCACTGATGACAGTAGTCCATCATTTCTCACCACTCTTATGTTGGCAAGGACTGATGGGAATCATAGTGGATGGCCACATAACTCTTTGTTCAGGAGATATGATTGTAGTCTTTCTCTCACTTAAGAGCAAAAGAATGCAAATTGTTTGCTGTTTGTTGTGTAATGAGAAGACCACTGAAAATTCTTCCTGTTGAATTTACATGAGGAATGACAAGACTGATTATTCAGGGACAGGAATGCTGATCATGTTGTACTATGACTAAAACATTTCATTTATATTAATTCTATTTAATAATGTACAATTACCTGTGCTTCTAAGCAAGAGAAGCTTTTAGAAAAAAAGGTAATTGTGCAATTTGAATGACTACATTTTTCCTAGCAGAAGCATTTCCACAAAACAGGGAACATCAAATGTCAGAGAATTCTAACTTACTGTGAACAAGCTACATGCTATTACCTGAAACTCTTTTACTCTCACACCATCTCTTGCTCCACAAGTGACTAAACTACTCAGAATTCAGAATGTCATCTGAACCAAAATTCCTGCATGTTGCTATTACTGCATTTATTGGGTCTTGATTCATATAATTAACATACATGAATCACAAAATGGGAAACCAAGTTCAAATCAATTATATGCTAGTCAGAGGAGTAACTGAAAATCTGCATTTTTTCCAACTTTTCAGACATTCAATAACCAACTACATACATTATATACATTTTTGGCTTCTTTGCTTGTTTCACCACATATATGCCTTGCTTTTCTTATAGAGAGACCATACACAAACAAGATCTTCCATATTTTAGGACTATAGAGAACAGAACATTTTGCGAAGTGCATCTGCTTTTGCCGGGGTGAGTATATCACAACATTTAATAGTGAGATTTTTATATTAAAAGGCAATAGAATCCTGTACTCCTTTGTACCTGGTCACAATTTCTCCCTGCCTGCTTTAAAGGCAGAAAATAACATAAAAAGAGGAAATTACAGCAATGCCATCGATCTGAACCATCTTATTTAAATCCATTTATCTTAAATCAATTCACTCTAGTAAGCAAAAGGATAGAGAGAACAAGTTGCCAACTTTACTAAAAGAGAGATTACTACACAATCCCAACATATTTCTGAGAAGCCTCTCTTTGGGAATAACAATATTTTTGAATAAATGTGGAATTAATATATTGCCATGGTGTTTAAATCATTAGAGAGTCTGGCCAGAACTATTATATTAAATCAAAATACGGAAGGGAAGCAGAAACAGAAGAGTGATTTAAAAATATATAACTAAATTGAAAAGGAGCAATACTGAGAACCTTCTACAGTAAATAATTGGGCAGAATGGCTCCCCTCCAAAATGAATAAAATGTGCAAGATCAGAGCAGATGTTCTCACATTCTGTTGCAAGATCATTGCAAAAACAGTCCGTTTTATACCCCAAGTAGAAGACAGACTCAGAAAATGATGACATAAGGTTCTTACATCCAAGTAGAGAACTATTTTACCTTCCAAAAAAGCTTAATCTGTTTCATAAACTTTCACTTTATATTAGTAATTATTTGTAGGCATTAAGAAAGAATATGAACAAGTGGTGAGTTCCCAACTCACATTCAGAAGTCAGGCAAACAGAGATTCATAGATACATTTCCCAGACATACAAAATGTCTTTCTAATACTTTCATACATGAATGCTTATGGGAGTATGCACATGTAGTGATTTCATTTGGGAGCACTGTTAGAAAGACCCATGCCCAGCAAGTGTAAGCTAAAGTAGATAGGCCAGGACAGAGAAACAAAGTCACCAGATTGAAGATAAGCCACAGAAGTTTATTACAATTTGGCCAAGAAGGATGAAAGTATAAGCAATTTACAGGGAAATCTTATACCGTTCTGACAGCTATTTTGACTTCCTGCTCCCTCTCCTGATTGGCTGAGAAAGAGACCAGCCAAAATCTGCACCAGGATTGGCTGGGGATTTGCCTGACATCACAGCCTGCAGGTGGTATTCCCATGGTGGAGAGAATGGCAGTCAGGTCTATGCAAGGAGTCAATCCATTTCAGTAACATCCCCTGGGAGGGCGCAGTCCATGAGGAAACAACACTACAGATATGCTGATGAGTTTTGGATTGACTCAAACACCAAGTTCAATCCAAAATGTAGGTGTAAAGCTCAAAAGAAAAAGATGCTGATCTTGTGCAATCATGGACTTGGCTGTCAGTATAGAAAATTAATGGATGAACATACAATAAGCCCCCTCTTCTGTGGGAGTGGCAGACTCTCAGCCTCAGGTTACATGGACAAACTTCCTGAGCTTGTCTGGCTGATAGAGGAGATCATTTTATCTTTATATACACAAAAGGTTTCTGGTAGTTATCTGACTTAATAGTTTGAGTGGTTTAATAAATGTCCCAATTCCCAAGGGATTATGCATTTGGGGTCACAGGGAAGTGACTACCTTCAGTTATATTTTGATACATGTAAGAAGTGGTTTATACACTATATATAATAAATTGATACAGTACACAGTAAGAAAGATACAAGTTACACAAAAATCACAAACTGATACAATTTGTTAATGGGTTAGACCAGGGGTCCTCAAACTAAGGCCCAGGGGCCGGATGCGGCCCTCCAAGGTCATTTACCTGGCCCTCGCTCAGGATCAACCTAAGTCTGGAACGCCTTGAAAACACACAACAACAATCCTATCTCATCAGCTAAAGGCAGGCCCACACTTCCCATTGAAACACTAATAAGATTATATTTGTTTAAATTGTTCTTAATTTTAATTATTGTATTGTTTTTAAGAGTTTTTTGCACTACAAATATGCTATGTGCAGTGTGTATAGGAATTCATGTTTTTTCAAATTATAATCCGGCCCTCCAACAGTTTGAGGGACTGTGACCCGGCCCTTTGTTTAAAAAGTTTGAGGACCTCTGGTTAGACACTACAGAGTGCATGGGGTACAGCTGCTGCTAGGTCCATTCCCAATCTTCTAAATCTTCGGAACTTCACAACTCCAGACCTCTGGAAAAGGTTTTTAATAAAAAAGGAAAATTATATATTTATTTGTAATCTCTTACTGAAATGTAAGTCTTTTTTGGGGGAGAGGGATGCCGTGATTTGACAACACACACCAAATAATGAAAGGGAATGTTATTTCAGCGAAGTTCCCTTTCTTTCCACCTTTCATTCAGCATCTGTCTCCACCAGTTTTAGATGAACCACCTGGGGTTCTACTGAAGAACAAAAGTGTCACATAAATGAAATAAAATTATCTCTCCCTCTAGTTTGTCACTGGGAAAGTTGCTCAGAGAAAAGGTGTAAAGATCCCTTACCTTGCCAGCCAGGGTGGCAGGGCCAGGAAAAAGTCAGGCTAGGTAGTTTTAGATTAGGAAGGCCTGGCAGATGCTGCTGGAGCCATTTTAGAGTAGGGAAATGCCCCAGTGCAGAAGGGGGAGTGGCTGAGGCCTG